TTCTGAGCCAGTCTAATCTCGATTCTTCCACCAAAGCATCACCCTATTTTTTTGAGGCTCTGTGGAAATCAGAGACCACATTATATGCTGAATTTCTTTTTATAGCAGTTCTGAGTCTAATCAAATCTTGTTATTAACAAAACCAACAATACAAGTTTCAAAAAACACATTTCATGATTGCCCAAAGCCCAGAAATTGGGAAAAATATGTTTATGTATTCTGGTTATAACAAATTGAGAACACTCATCTACATTATAATGAAACAGCAATTTTATAGATATTGTCAGTTTGTTAGAGCTCTAAAGGTCTCAGCAAAGCCTTCACTTCCTGTTCTGTCGTAGGAATGTCAGTTAGGTGCTGAAGAAAAGGGCGTCCATGGATGCAGGTGTGGTTGGCGCCACCCAGCTGCTGTTCCATCCGCAGGAGGGTTTCCTTCACATCTTCTCTAGATAAATTTGTAGGCAGCTGCCGGGTAAGTCGGACTGCTTCACCCTGTGAGGGAAAAATTCTAATTAAATTAAACAGCAAAAATATCATCGTGATGCTGTGTTCATTTTGTACTCAGAGCAGCTCTCACTTGTAGATAGTTTGTGACTTTCAATGGCCTACACTCCCGCACAGTTCTGGCTTTCTTGTGAAGAACTGCAGTCAGGATCTCCCTGAGGTCCTCCACACCGAGGAAAGGCACGCAGTCTGCCATTGCTGTCACTTCCAGATGTCTCTCAGCTGATGTGACGCCTGGCCAAAATAAGCAGAAAACAAGGATTAATATACTCCAGACGCTAGTACTATCTCCAGGAAAGAATAATAAATAAATATTGTGGTTTACAGCCGAACTGTTGACCAAGTCAAACAAGCAGAGGGCCAAATGGAGTGTTAAATGACTAATAGAAGCCCCAGCAGACTGGAAGGAAGCTGTCTTGTACGGTGGAAGAATGATGGCTTCTCATTTCACGAGGAAATACTGCGAATCATGCACAATTTATTATTTTTAATACACAACTTTGGATGGTAAAAAAAAAAAGAAAAAAGAACAAACCCAGAGAGCCAGGGACAATTTGAAATATCTGTGCAGAGAAATACTGCAGGGTTCAAATCATTCTCTATTCTATTAAATATTTATATGAAAATAATAGCTTAAAACAATAAACTTACCTATGGCAGTAACACATTTATTTTATATTCAGATTTAATTTAAAATATCAGAAAAATTATACACAAGTTTTGGAGGATATTTTCAAGAATATAACAAAAGCAAAAGAAACTCAGCAGATTTCGTGCACTGAAAACATCTTACATGCACCGCTGCCTTCAGTCCAAGCACACCCACAGAGGCTGGCAGTGCCAAATGAAAATTCCTGGAATTTTTTAAAGGGCAACCATTCTCATCACCTGCACACTGGGGTACAAACCTACTGTGAGACCACGCTGTCGGGCAGAGAGCCAATGTCAACTGAGGTGAACCATTCCAGCAACAAAAACAACCAATACTCACAGGACATTGTATACCCTCTGCAGGCAAATATTGAAGAGGTAACATCAAAGCATGGATGAACGAGGTTTAACTGAGGAAGTCATTCTACTTTACTCTGACATCATGTTTAAACGTTTGCTGGGATAAATCCTCGTAGTCTTATTTAATAGTCTCATTTCTTTCGCTCATTTACAGGTCCACATTTTTATTCTCAGTCTCTATTAGAGTAGCTCTGAATAATTTACAGTTCAAAACAATATTTATCCTATAGTTGGGCTTGGTGCTGATGCTAAATTCATCTACTGCCTTAAACAAGACCTCATAGATTTGAACTACAGCCTGGATATAAAATAAAATATAAACATTCTGTGTCTAAAAAGTAAAGTCAACACTGACATGCCTTAAACCTGCAGTCTTTCCAATAGCCAGCAGGAAGCAACTCTTGACGAGCAACATTTTAGGAGCTGGTCTTACTGAAGGAATGTAAGGTGAGTTTAGGTGATGTGGAGGCAGAAGCAAAAGTAATATTCAGCCAAATGTTCTTCTTGAATATTAATAACCCTGTTTCTTGCCCCAATATAAAGACTTACACTGATGTTTTCAGTGTCAGTAAGATTTTGGAAGTTTTTGTATTTTGCAGTTTATAACCTTTACATTTAGTATCCTTGTAGTACACATTTGGTATATTATTATGTATTTTTGTGCGCCTTACTAGTCTACGCAACCACCATTGACTGTACTGTTGTTTGTCTTGGCCAGGAAACTCTCCCCAATGACAATGAGAAAGGCATGCTTTTATAAAAGAAAGCCTCAAATCAGAAGTAACTGACCCTCTGGTATAACTCTCAAATGTGCACCTTAAACCAGATAACTTGTAAGCTGGAGTGGAAATGGCATCTTACTAATTTAGAAGATCATCATTTAGTTTGGAAAAATAGTTTGTTGCACTACAATAAAATCCTCCATAAAGCTAGAACATCTTACTATTCATCAGATTGAAGAAAATAAGAACCCTAGGTTTTTTCACCACTGTAGCCAGGCTGACAAAGAGTCAGAACTCTTCATGATTTTATTCACAAATAACATTTTAGCCATTAGAGATTAAATTATTTGTAACCATCTCATAGATGTATGGTAAACCATTTCTCTCTGATTCATTTTTCTGAGTTAACTTCAGTGATTACTTTCTCTTAATCATCAACGCGTCTCCTAGACCCCATTTCTACAAGACTGCCCAAAGAAGTCCTACCATTAATTACTGTTTTAGTCTTAAATATGATAAGTCCATCTATTACTGGATTACTTACTACAGACCTTTAGTAATTCACTAATTAAACCATAACTTAAAAAGCTATCATTTGACCCAGCTGTCTCAGCAACTCAAGCTAAACAGAGAGTCTTCTTCACACACTAAGGTTAATTATGGAGTTCCACAGGGTTCTAGGACCAATTATTTTTACATTACACAGAATCTATCTGTGTAATGTAAACAGTATCATTAGAAGGCACAGCATACAATTTCATTACTATGCAGATGATACCCAACTTTATCTATCTATGACGCTAGATAGCACACATCAACTAGTTAAGCTGCAGGAATGTTTTAAAGATATAAAGACCTGGATGACCTCAAATTTTCTGCTTCTACAATGAGATAAAATTGAGGTTATTGTTCTCGACCCAGAAAATCTTAGAAACAAGATTTTAAGCCGATACTTGGTTAAAACCAATGGATAGTATTTCCTTGGCTTCCAGTAACACCGTGAAGAACCTTGGAGTCACTTTTGATCAGGATATGTCCTTCAAAGTTCATAATAAACAAACATGTAGGACTGCTTTCTGTCGCAGAGTAAGGGTGAAAAACTCGTCAATGCATTGATTACTTTTATGCTAGACTACTATAACTCATTATTATCAGGATGTCCTGAAAGCTTCCTAAAAAGCCTTCAGTTGATCCAAAATGCTTTATCAAGAGTACTGACAGGGACTAGAAAGAGAAAGAATTATTCTCCTATACTGGCTTCTCTTCACTGGCTCGACTTTAAAATCCAGAATGAATTGAACTGAATTAAACACAATTATGTTTTTAATGAAGTATTTTCAGTATTTATATCAGACACATTAGAAGAGAGGCACTCAAACATACCTGAATAGAAACTAAAATGTGAGGTTTCTACAACAGAAAAGGTGGTGGTAGAAATAAAACTTCCACAGGGAAGGAAAATACTTTTAAAAACATTATTGTTAGGTCTCAGTGACCACTGAAAATTAGTTTAGATACTATTTGAATATCAGGACCACTTCCAAGTGTTGAGACTTGATTTTGATATTGTTTAACATGATAAACAACCTTGTGAAAGACTGGGTGTTTTTCATTTTACCCGCAGCTAATCCGACACAGAGAAACTCTATCAGACATAATTGCCTGTAATCCCGTTACGGGGACTGTAGGTTTGACATTTCTAACTGCTGAACTATGACATTAACAAAAGCATGAGTCACAAAACAAGAAACTTCTTGCACACAACTTGTTTACTTAGTGGACTTTTTGTTTGCAATATTTACATTTTCCTCATGTAGCCTGGAGATTAATATTATTGAATTTTATCATCATCCTCATGATTTGTTCTTCTAATTTGAATTCTGTGGAGCTTCTGCTTTTATTTTTAGCGCCCTCTATGGATTATGTAGGTAGATTGCCAGGAGTGGTATTTATTTCAGGCTGATTGGATTTGTCAGACTCTGATGAAAGCTTAAAGTTGATATGTGTTGGTTTATTTTTTTCTTCCAAGCTTTCTTCCAAATTAATCTCTCTTTTTAACAGAAGCCAGAGTACCTGAGTGGTTTTCTGTGGTAATATCCTCATAAAATAATGTCAAGCAACTTTTCCTGGATTTATTCTTTGTACCTGGAGTGAGTTTGACTTTAAAACCATTTGCCACAAGCCTAGGATCAGAAAAGAAGGCGGCTCCATTCAGCTCCGGGCTTTGTTTCTCCATGCTGCACAAAGCCTCTGTGTATTCAGCCCCTCCAAGGCTTCTAAAAAAGAGAAAAAGAAGATTTTAACATACATACCTATATAACAAAGGTAAAAATGCTTCTTTCGTACTTAGCTCTTATATATGTGCATACATTTATACAAAGAAACTGGCTGTGCACTTTGCTGGTGAAACGTGAGTGATACGTTACCCATCTGTTAACTGTATAGGGTTCTGCAGACTCGCTGCTGGAAGTATATTATTCTCTAGAAGTCTCTTAAACAGCAAAGCTTCCTCCACTCGAAATGGGTTTAACAACATGAGCCTCTGACCACATAAAATGACCCAGGCGCTCTGAGAGGCCAGCCGGTTTACAAGACGGAGGCCCTGCGGCGCTGCGCTGCTCTGGGATGAGAGGCGCTGAAGCTGCAGCCGCAGGGCAGCCACGCTGCAGGGGAGGGGCTGTGAGGGCTTAGGAGCAGGGTTCTTCATCTTCTTCTGAGGCTGAGCGGCGAAGAGCTCGTCCAGCAGCTGCTGGTTGGACAGCGGGGCCTTACGTTTCTGACCCTGCATATGGCTCCTCACACCAGGCTCTCTGGGGCCCTCAGCTGAGGCCAACTTAGTCCTTTGTTCATGATGTTCCAGGTGTTTTTTTGCCTTCTCTTCATACCTGCAGAGTTAAACCAAGCCTTGTAATGGTAGTTATGGCTGTTTCTGCTATTACATCAAAAACTCTTTTCTAAAGAGTGTGCATAAATGAAACAAAGAGAATGAAATGAGATAAGCATAAACGTGTATTTTTAGTTGAACATAGTGGAAAAACATGCCAAACATTGAAAAGTTGGGATGGGGCAAACAGAAGACTGTAAAAGAGGTGGTGGAGTATCTCACAACTAATGAGGTACAGGACTAGCCTGACTGGGTTGTTTTTTTTGTTCTGTTTGTTTTTTAAAAGCATCCCTGAGCAGATAGGGAGTATCTACGGATTGTTCATGAGTTCAACTAATTAGAAATAACTTTTCTTGATGAAAACAACAACAACAACAAAAAAAAAAAAAACTTTTTGGGTCATATACAGTTAATAATATCATAAAAGATGAAAATGCAGAGCAGGGATGTCAGACTCATTCTGCTCATGACCAAACCAAGCCAGTTTAAGTTTAGTTTTCTGAACCATTCATTTACAAAACAGAGAAGAATAAGTGCAATTTGAACAATATTCTGTCTCAGTTTTTGATATTAAACAATTTACTGTGGTTACAAAGAAACACTACTTTGCTGTTATAAAGCAGGTTGTAGATAATGTCTTTATCTGAAAAAAGGCCGCAAAACTAACATAACAGACTGTAAAAAGCTCAAAAACTGTGCTCTGTCAATCTGAATATTTTGTACTTTGTGTGCCAGATTCAACACTTCAGCAGCTGGAGCTTTCAGGCGGATATAGTGAAATCTCTGCAAGGAGCAAAACTAAAAAAACAGTACTGAATGTTCACATTATTCAGCCTTTGGAAAGTACATCATTAAAATCAGACGTGTGGTGGAAATCACCGCACATGCTCAGTAAAAAACAGGGTCAGTGAACACAGTTCACCACTTCTTCCATAAAAGTCAATTAAGATGTATCCATATAAAGATAAAAATAAGATAAAAATGACCTATGATCTCTCTCAGGAGGAGATTTTCTCTCAAGAAGAAAATTAATTCTTGAACTATTTGCCTACACAATCATTTAAAGAGTGGTGAACTGGTCAAACAGTCAGCTTCTTTGGGATCCCAGCCTCTCTCTCAGTCTTTGAGAAATACCACATACTGTAAGCGATGAAAGACCAAAATAAATGCTAAGAAAAATTTTTTGCCCACGCATTCTTACAGAGCAGCTCCGATCTTCTGAAAAACTTAGCTTCTCCAGGATGCTCTTTTTTTTACCAATGACATTAGGAATTCACCTAACCAGCTCTGAGATATTTCATTAAAAAAAAATTGTATTTCCTTTTTTTTAGCATAACACACTAAGTCTTTTTTTGTTGCTTGTCAATTCATTCAAAATGATGTATATTTTTGCAAATCACTGTAATCTGCTTTTCTTTACAATGTACACAGCATCTCAAGGATTTTTTTTAATGGGGTTATAAATTACATCACGAGGACCACTTTGTTCCCAGAGATCATGTTGAGAAGTTGACACCAGGGTACACTGGGTGCTTTCCTTAACCAGATAGTAATTTTAAACTCCTGTTTCCATATACTGCATCTGAGCATTAGGTCTGATGCTTTACCACCTCATTATTTAAATAGCATGTTTCACAAATTCACGTTAGCGTGCCACTTAAGTGAAAGGTGCAGAGTTATCTTATTTCACGGTTAAGACAGCAGTACAGTGAAACACAAGTCTGAACAGATGTCATTTTCCATATGCTCTTCCATACCTTATTAAAAGATCCTATAATCTACTGATACACACTTTCCAACCTTGCAATTACTTTAAATTGGTATGCAGCAATCTTACAAAAATTGGGTTCAAATGTTTACAACACAGTGTAATGTAGTAGCTCAGCAGTTATAAATCAAATTCTGACATGTACCAGTGCGTCTGGGACAGTTTCTAAGTCACTAATGACAAATTGACAAATGACTGAAAAGTACTGCACACGTTTAATGCAAACCTTAAGCCAGGAGGATGACAAACTATTTTACCAATATTACCGTCCCTGGAACAATAGGTCAATAATAGCTTAAGGGTTTAAATCCTGGCCAGGGAATGCATCCAGTAAGGGTTCCCCAGGCTAGGACCTGCCATGCTACTCAAGGCTACATTGGAACATGATAAGAGACTTGTAGCTGAAGCCACGCTAGCACAGACATCACCCGGATTAATAAGGTCTGGGTCAGGAACCAGGATATACTGATGAAAAGTGTGCTTTTGGAACAAGGCTATGGCATAAGGTGGCATGGGATGACAATAGGGAACTGTTGGAAAGTTACTTTGAAAGCAACTCCAGTTAAGGAGGAAAATGAATGGGAGAGTGACCCCCAAACTGGGAGAGTGGCTCCAACAGATTCCAGGAATGAGATGTCCAAAAAGGCATAGTCCCAGGAACAGTAAAGATACTGCCCTAGACACTCAAGTCCCCAAGCCCCTGGTAGAGGAACCCAGATTGAAGGACAAAGGAATTTTTGGAAATTCTTCCAGAAACACATTTGTGTGATAAGACACTGATGTTGGTTGAGAAGGCCTGGCTCAGTCTCCGCTCTTATTCACCCCAAAGGTGTTCTATTGGGTTGAAGTCAGGACTCTGTGCAGGCCAGTCAAGTTCTTCCTCACCAAACTCAGTCATCCATGTCTTTATGGACCTTGCTTTGTGCACTGGTGTGCAGTCATGTTGGAGCAGGAAGGGACCATCTCCAAACGATTCCCACAAAGTTGGGAGCACGAAATTGTCCAAAATGTCTTGGTATTATGAAGCATTAAGAGTTCTTTTCACTGGAACTATGGGGCTGAACCCAACTCCTGAAAAACAACCCCACACCATAATCACCCCCTCTACCAAACTTTACACTTGACACAATGCCAGTCAGACAAGTACCGTCTCCTGGCAACCAGCAAACCAAGACTGATCCATCAGACTGCCAGACAGAGAAGCATTCATCACTACAGAGAACATGTCTCCAATGCTCTAGAGTCCAGTGGTACCATGCTTTACAGCACTGCATCTGACACTTGTAATGTGTAATGTAAGGCTTAGCTGCAGCTCCTTAGCCATGAAAACCTTTTCCATGAAGCCCTCTATGCACATGTCAAGGCGGACGAGCTAATCTGAAGGCCATATGAAGCTTGGAGGTCTGTAGCGTTTGACTTGGCAGAAAGTTGGTAACCTCAGTGCTTTATGCCCTTCAGCATCTGCTCTATGGTTTTATGTTTTCTACCACTTTGTGGCTGAGTTTCTGCTGTTCCCAATCACTTCCACTTTGTTATAATACCACTAACAGATTACTGTGGATTATTTAGTAGCGAGGCAATTTCACGACTGGACTTGTAGCACAGGTTACATCCTATCGTGGTACCAAGCTAAAATTCACTGAGCTCCTAAGAGCGACCCATTCTTTCACAAATGTTTTCAGAAGCAGTCTGCTTGATTTTATACACCTGTGGCCATGGAAGTGACTGGAACACCTGAATTCAATGATTTGGATGAGTGAATACTTTTGGAAATGTAGTGTGCAAGTATTTTAACCCTTTTTGGATGAATATTTAATGAGACTATCTTCTTATATCTTGTATCTTGCTGACAGGTATTTATATTTTATAGCTTATTAAATAATGCGCATAACTGGCCCGGGACTGCAAAGAGAGGTAAGAGCTAAGGCAATTTTTTTCATCTTTTTGTGTATTATCCTTTCAAATTCAAGAATAATATCTAAACATTTGCTTTTTTTTTCTGTTTATTTATTTGAATATATCCGTCCTCATCTAACCTTAATTAATGCCAATCCTTTGACTCTGAGGGGAGCCGGGGTCAAACACAAATGCTCATTACCTCCATGTGTGCTGCGCCAAGTCTGCCCTTGACTAGCCAACTATGTGTCAGTCCTCATGCCACTTATGCGGTGTAAGTGTAGGTGAGATTTTTAAGTGGACAAAGGGACATGTGCGAGTCTGGAAATGGTCTCTAATTAAAATTGAGTGAACAGGAGTTTATATCAGTGAGTATAAATTAAATCAATAGTTAATGCCTGTGTTTAGTAGATATGCATGGAAAGAAAAAAACAAACTTGAAGCTTTAATTTGCCAAATTTAAATAGAAATGAGATGTGACCCTCTGGACAGACCAAGAGCGGACATATCATCATTAGGAATACCTGTTGCACTACGGAAATCTATGTTACCTCACCCCCTATTAGGCAAAGTTGTGTGGAAATTAGAAATACAGCTTGTATCAATAACATTTCCACAGCAGGCCTCTCACATACAAATGGCAGGTCAGACTTTCCTCTCTTCCATCTCTGCCTTGCAAATAACAAGAGATGGAAACTCAGAAAGGTGAAGGTCTGGAAACTCACTTCTTACGGTCTTCCTCCCTCAGATTTTTCCACCTCTCGTGGATAGCGACGCTGATGTCCTGCAGGCTGGCTGTGGGTTTCTCTCTCAGGACCTCAGCTCTGGCTTCCTTCTCAAAAATAGCAACAGGAGACAGCGGTGCCCTCATGGTGCGGTTGCTGATCATGTCATAGGCTGTCAGGGCAGCTCGCTTCTCCGTGATGGCATTTAATGTCTTTTTGCTTGAGCTGCTCTCACTCTTGGCCTCATCTGGGACAGAGTGATTCTGCTTTGTAGGTTGATGAATTATGACAGGCTGCAGGGGTTCTCCTGATACCGGGTCAGTAAGAGCGGTCCCCCGGCTCCAGTCCTCAGCTGAAATTTGGACTTTGCTTATAGTTGCAGATGTCATTTTATTGTCCACAAGTCTCTCCAGGGATTTGCTTGCTGGCTTTGTCACCGTCTGAGACATTTCATCATCATAAAGAGAAAAGTTAGACTCAAGATCAGCTGGAATCTGGTTTACAATCCAGTCATCTGCTATAGAAGAAGAGGAGCTGCAGTTTGAGGCCTGGCGGTCCAGCGAGGTGTCAGCACTCGATTGTTTGGGTCCATCTCTGGGGACACTATCATTGCTGTGACTATTCTCTGCATTTCGTTCACTGTCAGCCTGCAAAGGACTAGATGGCGAAGGAAATGGCTCAGAGCTGAGGTGTTTGTCAGCTGGGAGATCAGCGTTAGGCCGAAATCCATAGAGAGAAACCAGCAATGCCTCTACTGCAGTCAATACAGTCTCCTAAAAAACAGATGACAAAAGGTCAATTTCCTTCCTCAGGAATCTCTACAGCCAAACAAATAAACTGCAACTCACTTTGATTAAGTTTGAGCTTTGTGGTTACCTTGTTATGAAGAAGAACCTGAGTCTTGTCTGGCGTCAGATTAACGTCCACCGATGAAGGTGGAACAGAAATTTTAAGCATAAGGGTGGGATACCGATTTCTGGCTTGGTCGTCTGCATACTGAGCAGTATAGTGCTGACGCAACAGCTGATGGCCAATCACAAAAAAATAAAATTTGCAGAGAAACAAATAAACAAAAAAAGTTTTTAATCAGTAAAAATGTATTTATTGATTGTTTTATTCAAAATGAGTCTACCTTCATTATTTCTTTGTGCTGGACTGGCCGGTTGTTGACAAATATAAATGTTTTGTCAGGGTTAGATGTGCTCGTAGAGGAGTAATCAGATCCAGGCTTTGGGAAAAAGCCCTCCAAAAGAATCTGAGAAAAAGAAAAATTAGTTATCCAACACAAAGAAGGCCAATAAGAAAAGGTATGCCATGCATTAAAAACTAGAAATAAGTCAAACAGGAATAGAAATCCAAAAAGAAACAAAAGCATTATAACATCATTCATCTGTTTTCCACCGCTTGTATAGGATGTACAGCAGGCTAAATAAAGATCTTGCTCTTCCCATTAGATTAGATGATTAGATGTTCCCATGCCAGATGAGGGCGATCGTGGCTCAAGAGTTGGGTGTTTGTCTTGTAATTGGAAGGTTGCCGGTTCGAGCCCCGGCTCAGACAGTCTCGGTCATTGTGTCCTTGGGCAAGACACTTCACCCACTGCCTACTGGTGTTGGCCAGAGGGGCCGATGGCGCGATATGGCAGCCTCGCCTCTGTCAGTCTGCCCCAGGGCAGCTGTGGCTACAACTGTAGCTGCCTCCACCAGTGTATGAATGTGAGAGTGAATGAATAGTGGTATTGTAAAGCGCTTTGAGGGGTCCCGAAAAGCGCTAAATGCAATCCATTGTTATTATTATTATTAGATGAGATACATAATCTCTCCAGTGTATCACTGGTCTGCCTGCCATGTCTTTGGACATGTTAGAAACACCTCACCTAAAGGGGGTTTACAATGCTAACTGGTCAGATGCCTGAACCACGTCATCTGGCTCTTTTCAGTGTGGAGGAGCAGTGACTCTACTCTGAGTTCCCTTCAGAAGAAGCTCACTTTTGCCATCTTATTCTTTCAGCCATCTATTGCTTGTGGCCAGGTGAAGGTAAGACCAACCAGGTTTAAGACATTGGCTTCACTTTTTATAAAGTCTCTCCTCACACTGTGCCAGAGGAGCACTAAAGCCACATTTCCATTTTGTCTCTCTAATTCTGCACAATTCTGTTGTCCATATATTAAGGTTATGATATTTTACGGGTTAAAATGATCAGACTCATAAAAGAGGACCAAGGTTCCCTCTTCTACATGCAGGCCTGTTTCTGGTGTTCAGCATTTTCCCATTAAAACTCAGCATCATACATGATGACCTTTCACCCAAAATCATGCCAGAGGGGGTCCTAATGAGCTAAAATCGACGACTCAGCATAAACCTCAACAACTGTACTTAAAACTCCATTATGAATGCAAGCTAGTAAGAAATTATGGAAAACTATTAATGGTCAGCAGATCGCGAGGAGTCAACAGCTATGCTTGTTTCCACATGGTCTCAGGCTCATTATTAGCAGCAGCGCACGCCAATGAAGTTAATAAATGAACTGCTGTTTCAGGTCAGGGCACACATGCGTTTCTCCATTTCTGCTCATTAGGGTCACTTTATGAGTGTACGAATGGCACCTCTGGCCCTAAAGGGCCTCGTCTATGTGTAGTCAAGCTGGCAAAAAGCGAGTGTCACATTTTGTTCTGCAGAGGAACAGCTCTTACAGCTCTCCCCTAGCGAGGCTGGAGAAATTGTCAACCCGGTCCCCTTGATCACTGAAGCTTTGTTCTTAGGGACAAGGTGGAGAAAAGTTCCCTTTCATTGCTACGGGGAGTAAGAGGAAAAGGTGAAAGGTTGTTCTCATAACCGGGCACCAAGAAGGAAAATAACAACAACAAAGGGGAAAATGAGAGAGAAACAGGGTGAAAAGGGCTGCTCCATATCTGTCAGAATAGATTAGTTTGGAGCCTGACAGCAGGTAGGAGCCACATGACACCTACCGTGACCAAGCAGAAAGTTACAGCTCGACGGTAATTCAATTACAATCTGCAGAGCAAAGCTTAGCTAACAAAAATCACTCAGCCCTCATCAGGAAAGAACTCAAGAGAAAAGGGCAAAGAAATTGTTGGCCAGCAACCAACTGACCACATTTGCTGGCTTGAGACCAGGCATTCATGATGAGGTTATTAGCTCACAATCGAGTATAACGTGCATGCTCCCATTTGCTCTGCAGAAATTATCCATCATATCCAGGCATTAAATGTAGTATTGGCAGCTAAGCCTAAGGTCCTAAGGTCGTAATCATTAATCATCACCAGTGCAGATCTGGTTATTTTTAACTTGTTTTCAAATATTTTCTTAGGTTTTTGAGCGCTAGTGTTGCATAACATTAGCAACACTGACTCTGAGAAGTCCTGTTAGGCATGCTGCAATGTTACACAATATTTTAACTGATTTGGATCTCAGGATGTGTTTGTTGACATCAAGCTTTCAAGGTGAGCGGGGG